AACATATCTCAAATAATAAATGGCTTGAACTTGAACAACAAAGCAAAGGATTTTGCCGAGACTTGAACTCAATAAGAATAGAACTTGATTTGAACTTGTACTGTGGATTCAAACTGGACTCAAGGAATTTGAACTTTAAGCCTAAGCCAAGCGATAAGTTTGATCAAACAAATGAGCATTAACAAATCAAATTGAAGGTGTAAGAACTTGCTCATAGGCAATGACTCATGATGAATGAAAAGTCTATGTCCCATTCAGAGGCAACAAACCATATGAAGATCAATGAGTTACCAGAAAACTCGTGATGAATTGCTAAACACCTACTTGTGAGCTAATGTAATAAATCACGATCAACTTAAAGGGAGTATATAATATGAGTGCATATTAGTCATCTCAATCATGGATGACATAGTCACAAAGAACATATAAAGAACATGAAATGAATAGCAAGGCTTCCTTCCAATCAATGGCAACCAGCTCATAGATGAATATAGTAGTCATCTACAAACATGAAAAGATGAAGCATATAAGCATGGTAGGCTGCTAATGAATGCGATGATTTGTTGGCTAATGTGCACGAAGGGGATATGCTCCAGATATGATGAGTCTCCAATGCATATGGATACTTATGTGAGGTATCATTTATAAGAAATGACATAGGGAATTTTCGAATGCAGAACAATATACCTATGGGTAACAATCAACAACATGCAATGAATGTTATAAAACTCCTACAATCAGCAATAATCCAGTGCTAAGCAAATATACTAGCTCCTTATAAGCAAGAGTAGGTGGTATGTGGCAAAGTACAAATATTTACGGAGTCGTAGGAGACTCATCATATGCACTATATCCCATTTACAAGTAAAAACTGGATAAAATGTAACAAATGTAAGTATCCACAGGTCCTTGTGAGAGACTCAACATACACTAAGTGTTGTCCACCAGCAGAATGCCAAAAGGGTATAGCAAAAGCAAGCTTCTATGAGTTGTTGTAGGAAACTCATCGTACACATAATGCATCATCCACGGGCTCTTGAAGGAAACCCGCTACATATATAAAATGTCATCTATGAACAACATGCAAAACTACTACAACAAATGCAAACCCCTTCGAGCCGTTGAAGGAGACTCGTTATACAATCAAAGCAGGAAATTAGTTAGTGCACTGCAATCCACCTCCAGAAAGAGATAAGTAGTGCACGATAGTCTTCCAGTACAAAGCAGTAAATGACTCAATTCATAAGCTGCTACAACACACCACCGGATCCGCAACATCGATGCAAGCGGATAGAAGGCGTTTATAAATACTTTCAAAGTATCCCCGTACATGCACCGTAGTTTGTATACACATAGGTACACAAAAGGGTAAATACAATCACGAAACCCGCATGGGCCCCGACGAGCGTGTTATTGGTACACACGTGACATCTAAGAATGTTGCGCGGGTCGATAAGTGAATTCAAGTTCGAACTTAATCCTTTTATGCGGATCAATAGGAGTCGATAGGGTTCGAACCATCAAACAAACATACAGTTATGGGGCCGGTATATTTGTTTTAATACATTCATATTAAGCCTTCAAGGACTACAATCAAGAGAATTCACTAATAAAAGCATAAAGCCTATGAAACACGATCCCTTATCGGCAAGTTGATAGGGTTGACAAAGTTCAAGCTACAAATAGAAAAATCCCAAACACCCCGATGATGGTCGGGTTGAATGAAGACCTTAACTAGAGGGGTTAATCTAAAATATTTCAAAATGCCCTCAAACTTCCACAAAATTCAAATAATTTCAAGTGACCTCAAAGTCACCCCGATGATGGCCGTGTTGAACATAGATCTCAACTGGATGGGTGAGTCAAATACTTTTCAAATGTCACCTAAATATCCAAAAAAATCCTTAAAAAAGCCCAAATTTCAAAATATTTAAAATTGAAATAAAATTCATCTACACTTAAAGTAAAACACATCTACCCTCCGCAATAGTTTGCTTGGGTGGACAAATTAAAGCTACTTCATCTCACATAGAGCTAATGCCTAGTCGAAAATATCACTAGGATCCACTCTCAAACAATCTCCTGCCAGTAAGGATGTAGTACGTGTCCTCTAACCGGCGATTTTGCCGCCAAATGACACCGCAGGATAACTGGTTATGACCCAAGGCTGTCTGAACCGAGTTGTTTTTCCGCCAAATGGCACCACGAAATACCGGTTATGATTAGAGCTAATACATTCCTTAGTGGCATCAAATCCTTTAGATATGAATCAATAGGATATTATCAATAGGGCACAAAACCCTCTGTTAGCTAAGATGAATTCAAATTATCCCCTTAGACAAATACTTACCCCAGGTCTACAAGATATCCTTGGACGAAGCAACCTATGGCTGCCGAAAAGGATCCTTCTATCAGGTTAGGTCGACTACCTCCTCTGACTAAGTAGACCAGGGACTACGATGGCCCGGGACGACGGAACCATGGGATCTTGATCGGGTCCATCATCCATTCCCCCACCATTCGCTTTCAGTGCAAGATGATGAAATTTTCAATTTTAAATATCAAACTTTCTCAAATATCCCAATCCAAATCTTCAAAGTCCCAAATCAAAATCTACGCTGCTACTATATGCCAGATAACACATATCTCTACGTATCTGATTGATGACTAGCCTTAATCGAAAGTTTTCTCTCGTGATTGGGAGGGGTAATTAACTATAAGGGCTTGCACCTATAGGAAACTAGAACTCAGATCATAAAGTCCTTGCAAATGAGGGTGAAATCTCTGGGTAGTGCCTTATCTACAAACACATATGCCTTCCAAAATTTACCCCGGAACTTATTCCGTTAAAACTCACTCGCCGAAAAAAAAAAGCAACAGCGAGCGGAGGCCGGGGCCGAATTTTTGGAGCCCACATTATGCTATCCATGGCTGCCTCACCTTTCCAAACATAAATTTGATCCAAAATCATCTACTTGTGTTTTCATTGGTATGCTTCAACTTCTAAAGGTTATAAATGTACAATCTTCTCACAAATAAAATCATCACTTCAAGACATGTCCAATTCTTTGAACACATTTTTCCCTTTCACTTAACCACATACTCATCATCTTCCTCACCACCTCAACAATATCATCCATCCTTAGCCTTAGTCCCACTCACATCTGCAATATCATCTACACCATCTCCCTCTAGTTATTCTCCTCCATCCACACTCTCTAACTCATCTTCTCCTACCCCCTCCAAGCATATCTCTTCTCCGAATCAACCCTCTCCAGTTACCATTCCATCATCCTCGCCTATATCAAACAATTCTTCTCCGCCACCCCTTCCAACCAATCATATGCTTACTCATTTCAAAATTGGTCATTTATTGTTAGCATGTCTCATACTCTTCATCCTGTTGATCCTACCAGCTACACTCGAGCTTCCAAGAAACTTATTTGGCATAAAGCTATATCCACAAAATTTGATGCTATCCAGGCTCAAGGAACTTGGACGCTAGTACCACGTTCACCTACACAAAATGTTCTTGATGCTATCCAGGCTCACCGAAATTTTTACAAACATTTAGTAGGCTCTCTCCAATATTTGACTGTCACACGGCCTGATCTCTCTTATATTGTAAACAAATTGTGCCAGTTTATGCAACCTTGAAATGATTTTTTTTCTCTGCTCAAAAGAACTCTTCGTTATCTCAAAGGGACTATGTCTTTGGGACTATAGATACAACCAACTTCTTTACAGCTTCTTGCATTCTCTGATTCGGGTTGGGCAGGAGATTCTGTAGACCGTAAGCCTACAACAAGTTATTGTGCTTACTTTGGGCGTAATTTGATATCTTGGCAATTTAAGAAACAAAAAATTGTAGCTCGTTCATCCATCAAGGTCGAATATTGCTCTCTTGCTAATGCAGCTGCAAATTTACTTTGGCTGAGACGACTTATGCTGGAATTTTGTATCCCCACAAACACTTCCACTAAATTATTCCGTGATAACATTTCTATCATTGCACTTGCCAACAATCCTGTCTTTCATGTCCGTACAAAGGACATTGAGATCGACTTCAATTTTATACGGGATTGTGATAAGAATCAATCAATCTATATTCATCATATCAACACAGTTGATCAAATAGCTAATATTTTTACCAAACATTTGCCCATCAAACGGTTTCAAGATCTTCGACACAAGCTAACACTCATTAATAAGAGTGTCACCTTGAGTGGGGATGATAAGCAGAAGTGATAAGCCGTTGTTCTTACACTTCTTCAGCCGCCCATTACCTTACTTTCAACAACTTACTCTATTTTGCAGGAATACCTTTTACAGTTTTAATCAACACCATCTATGTGTAACTGATTAAGATCTCACCGTTGATTATATGACTTAGCCTACTATACATACCTCTTGTAAGCTGGATAAAACATATACAGTAAAATGAACTAATACCTGCGTGCATAAGCTTTCTCGATCTTAACCTTTACTGCAGCTTTCTTACTCTTCCTTACAGTAAGCAGCTACAGGTTTACACTTTGAAGTAATAGAATCAGGGAGCTAGAACTCCTCTTGTTTTCCCTTGCCCTTACTCTGCTTGCAGGCTTGTACGCCAAAACCTATGCAAGTCGCCAAATACAGCTGAAAGCTCCACTGTTTTGTATCATCTTAAGGAGAAATTATTACGAGCGCCCTAAAACCCGATTTTTTTCATGCAAAGCCGTGAAGTATGGAAAAGGCATTCAAAGAAGCAACAAAGTAAGACAAAAAAAAATTGGTTTTTTAATATAGAAATGATTTAAAACTCACGCAACAAACAAAAATTCACGAAAAAATTACAGGAGTTTAGAAGAATAAACCAATACTCAGGTAAAAAATGGCATAGATCAACGTGTCAGAAAAGTAATCACAGGTATGGCCGAAGCAACCACAGTCACAGCTACAATGAGAAATAAAAAACAAACAAAAGGAGAAGAAAAACATCATAGCAGTTCGAATTGCACCTATTTCAGAGCCAAGGCCGTTCAGGCCAGATATGAGAACATTTGAGGCAAAGAGTCGTCTCATGGTCTCCCTCCCATACACAGCCAGCTGCCGACTGTGGAGATCCTCATCGATCTCCTGCGGTTTACTCCCGTTCTCCTCCAACTCCATGTCTTGAACCGTAGTGAGATTCTTATCTGTAGCTACCTCCGTCTCCAATTTCATTAACGAGACCGACTGATCTCCCATTTCCTTGATCAACAAGGTTTTTTCTGAGACCTGCTCTTCTTCTCCTTCAGCGACGGCTCCCGCCCGCCTTTTTCTACGAAGCACATAAAGCAACGCCCCGCCCAAAAGTGCATAGCACCCAACCCCCAAGATCAGCGACAACAAGGAGCGAAGATACAAGCGGGAATCCTGATCAGCCATGAAAATCTCCAAATAGAAGCCAACGAAGACGGGCACAAGAAGGAGTAGCAATAGCCCTAATATGATTCCCATCAAGTGAACGGGAAGGAAAGAATTATTGCAAATCACGGAGGCGAAGCGTACCCAGTAGAGCTCCCAGCGATGTAATAGCCGGTTTACAGTGGAGAAGGAAAAAAGAAACGAACAATTAGCCGACCTGTACTCCGTGTTTGTTTGGTCTTGAGCTCTTAGCATTTAAAAAAATTTAGGCCTTTTGATTTGGTGTACTATGGGTGTAAACAAAAAATAAATATGTAAGTTTTGATTAATTTTTTAAGGTATTCGATAATGAAGATTTTTTTTTTTAATAAAATTAGGTGTACTAACTATTTTTTATAAAAGATTTGAAATATTTAATTTATTTTGATAGTTTAAATTCATATCAATTAGGCAAATTTCAAATGCAATGCTATTGTCGAAGATACCCTCAATATGGTTTGAATCTCAGGCCCTAATCTTTCATGGCGTTATTTTCACCATTACTTGTGTTTTTGAACATATTCTCATTCTCATGTGTCTTCATGCCCAGTACAACCCATTCAACTCTGCAGGGGTAGATTTAGAATTTTTTTTTGTGAGGGCACAAATTTTCATTCTTATTTTAGGATGTAGGAATATAACTAAAAAAATGGAATATATTTTATTAAAATAACAATACATTCAATAAAAAATAAGATAATTTTTTTTTTTGTGTGATGAAACATTAGTGACACTAAAGATATGTAGAGTTTAACATCTCAGTTTTGCACGAAGATCCATCACACATGTGGATAAGAGAGAGATGTAAGAATCATAACAAACATTAAATTTTTTTTGTAAAAAACCTAGGAAAGGAAAAACTCATGGTGCCTAGCACTATTGAAATAATTCCATTAGAATTAGTTGTTGATTACACATGATGACCTTTCTTGAGGGAAGACATGAACATAATATAGCAAATATACATTATTTAGAGTAGCATACATGGTTGGAGTTGGAAAATCACAATGGCATGAGAGCTATTTTTAAGAGATTATTGGCCTGTTTATTTTGTTAGAAAAATCATAATCGAGCAACGGTTCCGCATGCAATGAGCGACGGATGGTGGAGGGCCCCTAGTTGCACAAGTTAGTTTGAAGGACCATAGTTTAGTGATTGTTGTCCAAGGATTATAGTTGGTGTGTGACATAGGTCAAAAGGATCGTAATCGGGCAACTGTGGTATAATTATTCTAGTCGAAGGGTAACGAAGGTTAGAAGGATTGTAGTCGAGTTATAAAGGTCAGAAGGTCATAATTAGTCGATGGTGGTCTGAAAACTATAATTAGCTATAGAGGTCAGAGGACTGTAGTCGGGCAACGAAGGTCAAATGGACCGTAGTCAGGTAATAGTGGTTAGAGGGAGGGCAATGGCTTGTGGTGGTGGCAAACAATTTTCATGTGGGGGTACAAAATATGAAAATAAAAAATATCCTCAACCTTTTTCATCCAAGATTGGGACCAGCATTGATGATTTAAAAAAAAAAAAAAATTGTTAGAATTCTTATATCACAAAATGATAAATTATGTAATAAAAAACATGCAATCAAGAGCAATAGGCAATCACTTGACACCTATAGTTTCTCCTTACGAGTCTTCACATTTTGAAATCATTGTATAATAACTACATTATCAATACTTTTAAATTTTCCATTTTCAAATATAACTAATCAATCATTCATTCATCCAAGAGTCTCTCATACAATTGCATAAATGATTCTTTTCAATTTTCATAGCGTAGAATATTCGTTCGACTGTTGTTGTAGTAATTGACAATATCTAGGAAAGCTTTATAGGTAAGAACACTAAGGTAAATATTATTTTTCTTGGTCTCCATCATTTTTTGTGCAAGTTCTCAAATTCCTCTTAAATTATTGACTGCATCATTAGATCTCATATCAAGAATAAAAATCTTAAGTTGGATATATATATATATATATATCAATCATTGTTTG